TTACCTAATGCTCCAGAACAATACGACAGAAGAAAAGAGCTAAAGAAAATTGTCATTGATTTAAGAAAGGAGAGATGGGTATTATGCAGTGGGCGGTTTCAAAATTTGATCTTTGTTCTAAGACCATTAAATCCGCTTCCGCTCCGGGACACTGTTATATAAATGTTGCTATCATAGACTTTTAAAGCGGCAAAAAAAAAGATGAAAAACGATAGAAATTGAATTCCAAAAAGAAAAATAAGTCAAAATATTTGAAGTCATGAAGTTAGTAGAATAAAATTGTTCTTTTTTTTTGCTTGCATTTTGTACATATTTTTTTCTTACCAATAACTAGAGGCATTTGGAGAAATTCCAAAAAGTAGAAGAAGAAAAAGAAAATTGCATCTATAGTTTTTATAGTCTTAACTAAAGACCAAAAAATGATATAGACCATGAAATTGGCACATTGGACAAGTGCCAAAATCTTCAAGAAGTATTTGTTTCTTGGAATATTTCCCTGACGTTTAACCATTCATCTTCTCAGCCTCTTTTTGTTTAGCCGCCAAAATTTCTCAATTAAAGAGGAAAAAGTTCAGCAAACTCATTGTAGTCAATTTGGTCACAAATTGGTTAACCATTGAATGAAAGAAAATATAAAAAACTGTTTTTAATATTTCAGATAAATTTGATGTGATTTATTATACACGGCACTTTTTTTGGCCTTTAATCTTGGAGGAGGTTAGAAAAGCGGAAAAATGAGATTAAGCAAAAGCATACTGTGGATAAGTTGAGATTATTCTGTTAAGGTATACGAGAAGAAGAAGAAAAAAAAGGCAAATAGAATTGCTAAATATTATGCATAAATTTTAGTTTAGTGCTAGTAACGTTTTTTTCTTTTAGAAATAAAGCATTTACCAATTTTTTTATTGGCATTTTATAATTTAAGGTGTTTTAATTGAATGAAAAAAAAGTGAGTTTTTGATTAAAAAGTAAGAGTCATTTTTTTCTTATCTATCTTTTTTTACCTTTTTTTTCTGCATTTTTTTAATTTACATTTATGCTATTACAGTATTTTTTATCAAAAAAGAAAAAAAAACTTTAGGTTTATTTATAATTTATACAGCCTAAAAAAAAGGACATGTCAAAAACTGTGTTTGATAAGGAAAAGCATTTTTTCTGTTATTTTTTTGCTTCATTTTTTTCTTAAGAGCTGACAAAACTTTGACATTTGCTGTCAGCGGAAATTCCATCATATTCTTAATTTTTTAACAGTTTTTTTTCTGCATTTACTTTTTACGATAAAATAATTTGCAAAAAAAAAAAAAAAATTGAGCTGTTTTTCCAACAATTACTGTTCAAAAAGAAGTTATTTTACTTTAGTTTCATGCGCAAATCTTGTTTTTTGCATGTTTCCTGTCTCTTAACAACCGATTATGCTGTTGCTCTGCCGTTCGGCTAATGACAGTATTGTGGAACTGTAAATACCAATCATCGGCATCTTCGTCATCGTTCATCGTATACTCTGCCAACTGCAACTTTACCATTTTGTTCAGCTAATCTTTAAAGTCTACTACAATAATTGATTGGACAGTAAATTCAGAGAAAACAAAAAAGAGATTACGGAAATAAAAAAAAGGAACAATTTCAACTTTTTATCACCGCTTCTGAACAACGGTTTTTTAACTGTACTAATTGACTGGCTAAACAATATATCATCGGCCTTTGATTCTTCGCCAGTTTTTCAAGTTTTCAGTCTATAACACCTACCCTTTTTTTTGGCAGCAGAATAATAATTCTGCTGTTAGTCACATTCTATTAGTCACACTAATAGAATTATTAAAAACAAAATCATAAAATTTAAAAGTTTACCAAATTTAGACATATCGAATAGAAAAAAAATGCTGTTTATTGGGCTGTTTGCTTTGCTGAATGCGATAGAAGCAGTAAGAAATCCAACTCAGGTTTTCACAAACTTATATTTTACTCTTGTTTTTATGTTACAGCTTTTTTTCTGTAATTGATAAATGTTTAAAAATTAAGACTTGAGCACTTTTTTGTAAAGCGCTTTTGCTCTTCATTCATCTTTGATTGTGCTATATTCTTCATTAAATTTTTTGATGAGCAAAAAAGACTGAAAATCGAATTGTTTCTTTCTACAGATTGTTTTGATCAGCTCAAAAAAGCAAATGAAAAAAAAAAAGCATTATAATAATGAAAACTGTTTGTCAG